TCTCAGGTGTGGAATGCCACACATATTAATGAGAGATCACGCCTCCTCGCATAAAGCTTTCTCAAACAAAACAAGTCATTAAAAATGGAAAAGACTTTATTGACTTATCTGAATGAGTAGTCAGGATGATTCTCACATAGTTTTGGAGCAAATATTCTAGACTAGGGATGGGAATTGATAAGATTTTATCAATATCAATGCCACTAACGGTTCTGCTTATCGATCCGATTCTTTAACGATTCTCTTATCGATTCCTGATAGCACAGACTGCACTGTGTGGAAAAAAGTAGCCTAGTCATATGCTTTTTCGGGGAAAAAACAAGTGGTTTTATTTGTTTTAAAGCTTACACTTGAGTAAGCAAACTGTACTTAGGCCTATGTAATAAATGGAACCTTATTGTAAAGTGTTACCGATTAGTTATACACCGATTAAACGTCCCGTGAGTTCAGTGTTGGAAAGATCAGTTGATTTAACCATTCATTAAAACGAATCGGTTCAAATGAGTCATTAGTTCGCGAATTGGACGTGTCATTATCGGACGTGTGCGCGTTGTGTGATTATCCCCGCGGTTGGGACATCCCACAAGATTTGTGTCATCACAGAAAACATTTCATCACTGGATAGTTTTTTTCGTTTATTTAAAGTGTGGTTTATGTCAGCTGAATGTGCGGAACGCTTTTCAGATAAGGCAACGTATTTTAGCACAATTCACACCCAGCGGTAGCCTAATTCAGGAAAAACAAATCTCCGAATGCTCCACATGAAACTTTAGTCTCCCGACCTTATCATCGTGTCGTTTATTTGGATTAATATGTGCGAGGGGAGAGAGAGCAAGACAGCGCTTAGTTTTGAGACGGTGAACCCTTATGCCTCGTTTCCACTGAGCGGTACGGTACGGTACAGTTCGGTTCGGTACGCAATTATTTGCGTTTCCACTGTCAAAAGTTGTGAATGGTACCAAAAAGCCGAACCGTACCGTACCACTATTTGGGTACCCTTCCGTTGGGGTACCTAGCACAGTGGTACGGTACTAAAAGGTGGAGCTAGACTCACTGCAGAACGTTGATTGGTTGACAGAGTATCGTCACTTGCGCGTGCTACAAGGGCATTAGAAGCATACAGTTAAAATATAATACTACTGTTATTGTGTCACGAAATGTAGTTTTAAGAGTTTTTCAGGTGAGAAAGTAGTATTTTAAAGCTCAGATCTGTGGTTTATTTATAGATTTATGATCATTTGAAGATCCATTCCAAGCAATCACCGGGTGCTCGACGCAGCCTTTCCCCGGCTAGCCGTTCTGATGTTTGCCGCTGACTCTGACTTCTCTGTAGTTGTTAAACATGAGATATAATTCGTCTTGTACAGACCTAACAGGTGATCTTTGGTCTCGTGAATCTATAATTCGTTCCCTGGCCAATAGTTTTGGCAGAAGGCTAAGTGAAGTTTCATATATTTGACTGAATTGTTTGCTTTGTTATTAAAGCTTTACTGTATATATTTTGTACCTTTTACTTATACTTTTATAATGGCTATTATTGATAAAACTGAAATTCAACAAATATAGATAGTTTTGTCATTTATTTTATTTTATTACAAGATCATCTGTAATGTTGTTTATTGCAACATTTGTACCAATGCAATATGCAATACATTGCCTGGAATATGTTTAATATTTTTAAATTTAAACGAAAAGAGGCAGGATTGTGTTTTATATTTAGTTTTGTTATAAATATAACGTTACATGCAGTGAATATAATCAATATAGGCTATGCGTTGCCTGAACCACATTTGTGTGCTTATGTTTAAAATGTATTTAAATTAAATCGAAAAGAAGCAGAGTGGTGTTTTATAACATATTTCGTTTTATTGTTGCCTAAAATGTACATAACCGGAGTAGCAGAGCGAGCTGAGTGGCGCATTCAAGAACGCGCCGTTCCATCAGCAGAATTACTGGACTCGCGTCCTCGGGATCATTCTCCTGAGTCGGACTTTGCGTGGCTACTTGGTATTGAGAAACGCCTAATGCCAGCGCTTGTTTCTTGTGACAAACATCCCGAGAAGCAAGAACAAGATCTGCTGTCTGTCATCCATTGTTGTTTACTATGTTGCTTTCTTCGCGCGAAAATGACGTCGATCGCTTCCCTCCGGCAAACACCACGCCTATCAAGTAAGGGTACTGTTGGCAGTGGAAACGCTAGCTGGATCATGCTGTACCAACCCGACCCGTACTGTACTGTACCGTCCCGTACCGTAAGCCTCAGTGGAAACGAGCCATTACTTTCGCTTTGCTCCGAAGAGAGAGAGTGTGCGCGCGCGACCGGGGCTCTCTCTCTCTCCCTGCTCGTTCAGTTTAACATGCGCCCTGTCACAAGCGCAGCAGTTCATCTACATCACTCACCGATTAAATAAGACTTTGGCGGTACAAAAATTTGCTTTGGATGCCGTGCTATGGTGCTTGATAAAGGACAAAAGGGACAGTTGTGAGTTCACGGTCTGTAGCCTACATACTATGGCTGACTCAGAGCAGGAGCATCGATAAGAGGACTCGTTAACGTCGAGGGCATACAATATCGATGGATCGTAAAACTTAGAACCGGTTCTCGAGTGGAACCGGTTTTCAATGCCCATCCCTATTCTAGACTATGTGATACAATTTTCAAAAGTCTTGTGAAGAAATAATCAATATGTGTTTTGTGGCCTTATTTCAGAAACTTTTATTTTTAAGTTTTTCAATAACCATGCATAAATAAAATTCTCTCAAAAATACAAACATGTACATACATGTTGCTCACATATCATGGTAACCCCGTTTGTGCTATATAGAGTGAATTTACACCTTTGCCATTAACACAGGGCCGGCGCTAGCTATAGGCAGAGCAGGCGATTGCCTTGGGCCTCGGGCTTTGAGGAGGGGCCTCCATAACCATAACATAGTCCACCAGACGGGCAGAAATACTAGCCTCATTGTTCATTGGATATTGTTGAATTGTCACTCATCTGCAGTTAAACCAATTAATGTTTCCGTTTCAAAGCGGGCCGGCTTCTAAAGTTTGTGCGGACGCATCCATCAGGTGCGAAGCAAAAGCCTAATAGGCATGCAAAGCACAGCTCGTAATGCAGGTGTGTGCGTTGTCGTCATCTATTTTGGAGTGATTGCAATGTATTATAAATATAAACTTGTACTGTAGTCAGCGTAATTTCTGGAAAAATCATTCACCGCTTTTTTACGAGTTTAAAAGAGCGCGAGCGTCATTAACGTGCCCAGACGCAACGCTTTGAATTTGCGCGTACAATGAATAACATCGCGTCGGGAGCTGACTAGTAAAAAAGCTACAAAACAAGTATAAGACAAGACGTTTGTATTCAAAGTTAAAAAGCCTACACATTTTTAAATGTTTCAAATAAAGGATCTCATGGGTCTATCTTCTAAATTCTGCTGATGATTAGATTATACCCTGACATCATGGCCAACTTACGCCAATAATCAGTTTAGATTTTTTTTTTCTAATCAGTAGCGATCGTGTCTTTCTCTTCCACTTGATTTGTGTATAGCATATTTAAGCTAACAATGCAATGCATAATATCATATTAATAATTATGACAATATCTGCAGTCAATATTGATTAAATGGGAGGGAAAATCCTGCCCATACCGCAGCTATGAAAAAAATGATAAAAGCACTTATGGTCATCTCCTGAAGTGGTATTCTGGAACTGTGAATAAATGGAATAAAACAGCAAAATAACAACAATAACATCTTCATTAAACAAAAAAGAGATGACCTTAGATAATCTTTTTTAAAATACTTTTTTAAAACAACTTTTTAATAATCCCAAAATCCTGAAAAAAAGTATCACAGGTTATAAAATAGGCTAAATATTAAGCACCATTTCTAACATTTGATAATAAATCAGAATATTATAAAGTTTTCTGAAGTATCACGTGACACTAATTCAGCTTTGCACCACAGAAATATATTTTAAAGTATAGTAAAATAGGAAAACCATTTTTTTCAATTTTAATAATATTTATTATTTTTCTGTATTTTTGATCAAATAAATCCAAGCTTGATGAGCATAAGAGACTTCTTTCAAAAACATTAAAAATAGTAATGTGTCCAAACTTATGTACTGTGTAAGTAAAAATATACAAAGGTTAGGAATCATATTTGTTTCAAGAGTTTTTTATTGGGGGTGGGGGGCCTCCAACATGAATATTGCCTAGGGCCTCCAAATGTCTAGAACCGGCCCTGCATTAACATGTTTATAAATAACTGAAAAAAAGCACAAATGTCAGTGCATGTCAAAACATCCCAAGGGCCCCAAAAACACTCTGGTCCCCAGAGGGTTAAAGACAAATCTAAGAAATTGAGAACGATACTAAGTATCAAACAAAAGGCACTTACATGGTCAATTATGCACACGCAGGAAAAAACAAAGAAATGAGAAAAACTCAGTCCTCTGCACAGTACATCCATGTGCTGCAAACAAAGTAACATGCTGTGGGCACAGGTGCAGTTAATAAAGCCAGATATAGAGTCCTGATTGGCTAAGAAATCAGGTGGGTGGAGCTAGAGTTAATATGAAAATTAACAGGCTAAGAGGGGTGTGGCACATGCTTTGCACCTTGTGGATTAAGGGACACAAAACTTCTCAACACACACACACACACATATGCACTAATTGATACTCCATAAATATTACATAGTACAGATCTCAGTAAATCTAATCTATGTAGTGAATAGAGTCATTTATTAAAGCAGATTTTGCATAGGTCAGGACTGACTTTTAATATAGTGCAAATAAGAGATTATTTTTCCTGATTGAATGATACTTTAGATGTTGTATGATCATGTTTTGTGACATTTTATATCTCAATCTAATAATCCATCAAACATATTAATTTGTGCTTTAAGTTTGAACTTTCTCTTTAATAATGGATTGATTGCTGATCTGATCTGAACTGAGAGAGTGAAGAGTGTGTCGTTGTTCTCTACAGGTTGTGGGATTGTGGCGTCACAGATGAGGGTTTTGCTGATCTGACTTCAGCTCTGAGATCAAACCCTGAACACCTGAGAGAACTGGATCTGTCATTTAATAAAATAGGAAAATCTGTGAATCTGCTGTCTGATGTACTACAGAATCCTCACTGTAAACTGGAGAAACTGTGGTAAGATCATATTAGACTCTTACACATGAATCACAATGTAAAGTATATTTGAAGTGTTCAGCCTCTTTCTGCTGCTGTGAGTTCAGCTGATTGAGCTGTAAATGATTGAGCACATGAGCTGATCCTCAATAACATGACACTGCAGGACTGAGAGTCACACTGAAATACACACTTTCACACACAATTCAACATTTCAGTCTTTTGACTTTAAACAAACTCGAGCTCAACACAGTCAGAACTGAGAAATGAAGAACATGGCGGATTTATTCTTACTGGTAATTATGTTCATCTTTCTGCATTGACACTTTCTAAAATGTTTTTAAAGTTGTGTTTGTACACACACACACACACACTGTCATAGATCGCACCTCCGTGGCTCTCTCCGATCGCCGAAGGACACCGTCACCTGAATACTGAACTTCATTTCCCATCATGCACCTCCCTGGATTGATTACACCAAACACCATACACCTGCACTGCGCTGATTACACTCACACCTGCACCTCATTCACACTAGGGCTGTCAATCTTCCTCTATAATAAAATTCGAATTCCATTCCTTATTTTATTTAATATTCGAATATTAAATGTTCAAATTCATCCTATTATTAATATTTACGACTTTACTCAGGCTTATGGATCGCCAATGCCACTATTGCATGTGGTTGTTGTTACACGTTCTGTCCACTAGAGGGATATCTAACATTACAATAAACATTTTATTCGTGCTGAATATGGTTGCAGCGCTACCGATGGTTTTCGGCTAATATCTCCGCTAAAACACCACCAAAAATTCTGAAACTTATATCGTTCTTTTCAGTTCGACTAGACGGTTCCAACGAGTTTGGTGCTCGCCGAATCCGTTGAGTTTTCACCGAGATATTTGCGCTTCACGGGTGTTTTTTACGTTGTTAAACATTTACCATTTTTGACAGTATTGTTATGATGATACAGCGTGGATAACGTGCACAATTGTGTTACGATTCAAAAACGTTATTGTTCATCAGACGAAACAAAAGCATTTCATTTTCACATGTGTGTAAGCCAAGGTGGCGAGAAAGGCAAGATTGCATATAAAAAAATTAATGAATGGGAATAGGAGCAGGCTTCACTCAATGATTAAACTTAAACTTTAAGAATGCTGGCCTGATGATTAGAATATATAACGTTAAACAGGAAAGAGGCCGCACTATGCATAAATTGTTTTATTTGCACAACAAGACACGCGCCAAAACGCGTTTGTGCAAATAAAACAATTTATGCATAGTGCGGCCTCTTTCATGTTTATATATATAAAAAAAATTAAAATATACATAAAAAAACAATATTCGAATAGTAACTTCAGCATTCGAATAGTATTGATTTTTTAAATATTCGAATTATATTCGAATTTCGGAATTCGTTCCAACAGCCCTAATTCACACACACCCATTTAAGCCTCATTCACACACTCATTCAGTGCGAAGTCTTGTTCTGCCCCGGCTAACATTTCTGAGCGTTATACCACATTGTTTTGCATCCCTGTTTTTGACCCTTGCCTGTTTGCTGTTCCTTGTCTCTTGTCTGCCGCCTGCCTCGACCCTTGCCTGGTATTGTTTATGAATCTGGATTTCCTCTGACATCCCTGTTTGCTGGTTTCTGTATTCTGCCTGCCTGACTACTCTCCATTAAAACACTGAAAATGGATCTGAACATCTCTGACTCTGCATCACACACACACAAATTGATACTCCACATATATCTTAGTAACATACTAAAACTAACCTATGTTGTAAATAGTGTCATTTATTAAACAGATTTTGCACAAGACAGACAAAATATGATCATGTTTTGTGACATTTAATCCAATTTTAATCCAATGATCAAACATATTAATTTGTGCTTTAAGTTTGAACTTTCTCTTTAATAATGGATTGATTGCTGATCTGATCTGAACTGAGAGAGTTAAGAGTGTGTTGTTGTTCTCTACAGGTTGTGGGATTGTGGCGTCACAGATGAAGGTTGTGTTGCTCTGGCTTCAGCTCTGAGATCAAACCCTGAACACCTGAGAAAACTGGATCTGTCATTTAATAAACTAGGACATTCAGGAGTGCAGTTGCTCTCTGTTCTGAAGGATGATCCACATTATAAACTAACTAGTTTACTAGTTTGGAACTAAAAAAGGAACTAGTTTACTGTGAGTATATTTTTATTTCAAGCCTTTAAATTGACCCAATTTCAGTAACAGGTCTCATATGTGTGAAACTGGAGAATAAAAGATAATAATTCAGCTCCACTTTAGTCTCTATAAACCTTTTTGAATAAGAGTTTAATTCTGTGATGTGAATATGATTATGAATAGACTAGGTCTAAATATTTTCATCTCTTACATGTTTACATGCACAACTATTGTTTAAATTGGGTTTAATTAATTCCGATTGATAAATCCAAATTTAGTGTATCACAGACTTCAAATCGGAATTGAGATTTTGACATTTCACACATTGCACGAATATTCCCCACTGTTTGCACATACTGTTCCCCTACATTGTTTGTTTGTTTAACACAGGAAGACTTAATAATTATCTATTACGGGTTGGGTCCTCATTAGGAGACAATGAGCAAATGAACCGTTGTGTTGTGCTGCTTATATTTATCAGGCAGTAAAAACACGAATGCCTGCACCCAAAACAGCCTGTGGATGAGAGTATGACAGAAGGACCGGTGGGATGATGTCCTGCTCCGCTTCACAGATCATAGAATGGAATTTTTGAATGACACGAATATGTACGAATAGCCGTGAGATTGCGTTGGTCATTCATGACACATTCAACATTTTACAACAGCTCTTGCGCGTCATACGTCATTACGCACACACACAGCACTTTCCAGTTTTGGTTTTCAATCTGATCAAGTGTTTATATGTCCTCTCGATCGGAGTGAGTGTGTGTGTGTGTGTGTGTGTGTTATCATTTACTGTTATTAATCTATTAGTTTTTCATTAATATCTCTGGCCGTAATATGAATATACATGATCTCCAGATGTGATGTGACAGCAGTAATGTCTCATACTCATATGTGACTGACTGTGTGTTTTATTGTAGGACTCTCAGTGTTTAGACGTCAGTCCAGTTTCCTCAGGATCAGCTGATGGTGAATAAGGAGCCGCTACAGAGACTGAAGACACAGAAACACACAGCGATCACACTGACGTGTGTGTGTGACTTAACACCAGTCTCTTGTTTTATAGTAATGGCTCATGAAAATGAGTGCTGAAAACAGCAGCTTTGAATTGTTTAAAAAATCTGAGACTACAGAAAAGATCAATGTTGTAAATTTTTCTACCAGCAGAAGGAGACAAAGATTATGCAAATAATTTCACTGAATTTATTTCTGTAAAATATTTATTAGTATTTATCTATTTTGGTATATGACCAGCTATTAAAGTTTCCACCTAAATCTTCACATTCTTTTACTGGTTTCTTTTTCCCTCCTGCCTCTGAACACCATTAACTACTAATTGCTATATGTTGACACTTATTCTTCTTGATGGCAAGTATTTCTAAAGCCAACACAAATCAGTGATATGACACTCTTGCTTAATTTCTTACTTTATATTAGGAAAAGACCTGCCTTCTGTCAAAGAAACAGGAATTATGAAATTCAAATATTTAATTTTATTTCAAAATGTACTCTCCCTATCCAGCCCTGTGCAAAGCATGATGGGAAGGGGAAAGCCTGTTCCTAGTTTCTATAATAATATTTTAACAAAACAAATGTATGTACTCTTTATTCAAATGGATTAAGTAAAGTGGCTGAAAAGAATCGTGTTGGATTAACTTAATTTACTGGAGTAAATTGAACAAGCATCAAATGTTATTTTTGACATTAAAATATTGAGTTGAGCCAAACGCAACTGTCTCAATTCAGTTTTAACGCAATGCAATTGTGTTTGAATAAGAAAGCTTTTATCCATTACAACATTTATCTAACTTTGTTGTTTTATATTCATTTGTTTTTTATTAATTGACACAGACACACACACCAAATCCAGACAGGAATTACAGGTGGAACTATGAACAGAAAAGTATTTATTTATTTTTACCTTTTTTATTAAATTCCAATCAAATTACAAATAATAAACGCACAATAGTCTAACTGTATACTTATTTAGAATTATAAAAACTGTATTTGTAAATTTGGATTTACAAATAGTAAAATAAAATATACAGTAGGCGATGATATATAAAATAATAATTCAAGTAAAAGAAAGAAAATGATAAACAGAAAAAGGAACTGGTATGAGATCATCATATAAATAGCATAAAAGCTTAACTGAGTTAGCGACGTACGAACTTAGACCGGACCCCTGGACTGATTCCGGTTACCGACCTTCATCGCCCGGCTTTTCGACTATGCTCCCTGTCTGCCAAATGGCAGCCTAGACCCCGGTTGTTCATTAAATGTTCTTTGCTTTTTATGTTTTATGTATTATATTTAAAATAAATGTGTTTATTTATTTTTTTTTCTTCTTTTTTTACCAGTTTTAATAAAGTTGTATTAAACTTTATGACCTTCTGTCATTTTTCTGTGTGATGATTAATTTACTGTTATGCCCATTAATGATAGGCTATACAATATTTAAAAAGTATATAGGCCTACTCATCTTACATCTGACTAATTAAAAAAATACCCTCAAAACATAAGATGCTAAATGGAGGATATCTATATCTAGAATAAAAATAAATAAATCGACAGTAGGCCTATACGTCGTCTCTCAGTTTCTGAATGTCGCGCAACACTGTTTCTACAGCCCTGTCGCGTGCAATGTTCGTTGCGAGCACGTATAGGCTATATCAGCAACAATGCCATAGTAGCCTAGAAATGCAACGTGCCACAGACGTTGCCACAACATAAATGTGTTTGCTGGGTTCATACGTGCTCTCAGCGAGGAAGGAGCTTCAAAGGTATTCTACATCAGGTCTATAATCTGTGCAATTAATCTGGAGAAAAAAATAATTA